GGGCGGCCCGTCGGGGCCCGGCGCGAATCTGGGCGAGCTGGAGAAGGGGGCGGAGGCCGTGGAGCTCCTGGAGCTGCTGGGGCCGGACTACGGCGCCGAGTCCGAGGCGGGCGTGCTGCTGGCCGCGGAGCCCCTCGACGTGTTCCCCAGCGCGGCCGCGGGCCTGCGGGGACCTTTGGAGCTGGAGCCCGGCCTCTTTGAGTCGCCGCCGCCCGCGATCGTGGGGAGCCTCCTGTACCCCGAGCCCTGGAGCGCCCAGAGCTGCCCGCCCGCCAAGAAGCCGCCCCTCGCTGCGGCCCGCGGAGGCTTGACCTTGAGCGAGCCCTTGCGCCCCTTGTACCCCGCCGCCGCGGACTCTGCGGGTGGCGAGGATGGACCGGGCCCCCTGGCCTCTTTCGGCCCCTTCTTTCCAGACTGCGCCCTGCCGCTGCCGCACCATCAGGTGTCCTACGACTACAGCGCGGGCTACAGCCGCACGCCCTACTCCGGCCTCTGGCGACCGGACGGGGTTTGGGATGGGGCTCCGGGGGAGGAGGGAGTGCACCCCGATTGACTGCGAGGTACCCCGCCCTCCCCGAGAGACTGCAGTGGGACGCGCCCTGCTCCCGGCCTCTGCTGAGCCTGGAGAACGACGGGGAACGCAAGCGCAGATGAAACGGGGCGGTAAAAGAGTCAGTTAATAAAAAAACTTCACAAACACACAGGAAGATGTGTTGAGGATCGTCTTAATCAGGGCCTCAAGTGGACTTTATTTAAGCCGTCGCTAGTTTGTTACTGGACTCCCCGCTTCCCCAAACCAAACAAAAACCGAGATGAGCTTGGGGAATCATAGGGGGGAGGGGTGCGTTGCAGAAAGGGCAGGATGTAGCCCTGGTTGCTACCTGCTCCTCTCCAGCTTCTCAGCGAAGGTCGGTGCATTCGGTTTACCCCCTGTGCACCTTGCCCTGGCCCCTTCCCTCAAGTGCGTTATGAATTAAAGCCTATATTGAAAACAAATGGAGCGGAGGTGCATTGTTATTGACCTGAGTATTTTCTTAGAGGACAGTTTTTCCTGTGGCCACTCAGCGTTAGTAGGGGAGAATGTTACTGAGGACGTCAGGCCACCCCATCCTCTGCTCTCTCAGAGCTGGTCCTAGGGTGTGGTTCTGTTGTCTGTCACTCAAGTTGGTTCTTTCTCGTCTTTCGTTCCTTCCTCCTCTGCTGCCTTTTGCTTTCTTGCATCTTCTACTCTGCGTGTGCCGTAGCTTACTTTTCTTGCAGATCTTTGAGGCAGGAGACAAATCTGGCAAACTTGGCGTCTATTTCTCTCTCCCTTTTTTATTTTGGAAGGAGAGTCGAAGCAAGTTGTAGACTGTATCTAAATTTCCTTGTCAGAGGGGGGTGGGGTGGGTGGGATTACGGTATTCTTCAGCTTCTCACTTATTCACAGCTTGTTGGGTAGCTGTTACGTGAAATGTATTCAATGCTCGAGGCTGCATGGTGCTTGACTGGCTCTGCAGCTGTCTGTACGACCTAAGTATAGAAATGGCTTCTTTGCACGAAAGTGGTTGGGAGTGTGATTTCTATGCTTTTTTGGACTCATCTGTTTGCCCCATGGTTGCCCTTTCCCTTACAAGCTGTGCACCTCTGGCATCTCTCTTCCTGTTCCACCCCACACCTCTGGACTTGGTTGCTGCTTCCCTGGGGTTCCTCACTTGTTGTTTCCATACTGTCTTTCCCTTTGACAGGGGACAGTGACAGGTGTGAACTTTCCAAAGGAGTCCCTCTGCTCCCTGGAGAGCAGGTTTCATCAACGCAATCTGAAGGGCCCCTGGAGGGAAAAGCTCGATCTGCTGTCTGAGGGGGCCCGGAGGAGGTGGTGGTGGTGGGGTGTGTGTCAGGGGAGTCAGAGAAGTAACCAGCTTTGATGTAGCAGAGAAGACATGGGGCACTATCAGTATTGTTGAAGGGCGGAAGAAACAAGATTGGGCGGGAACTGAACAGCTGGAGGGAAAAGAGGGGGTCGTTCAGCCCAGACCTATAGGTAAAAGTGGAAGAGGAGACTAATAGGCAGGAAGCACAGAGATGTTTTTCTACTGATTGATTGCATTGCAGAGAAGAGCTGCTTCTGTTCCAGTTGCAAAGGAGAAATGCTGGAGCAGCCAAGATACACTGTCAAAGTGTCTAGATGTGAGAAAGAAAAAGCCCCAGTGCTGCTGCCGTAGAATTTTAAATCCAGGTCAATGCTTGCACAAATCAAAAGTACCATGAAAGGAATTTGTTAAAAACAAACAAGCAGGTATCACGCAATAATAGATACAACCTTAAGTGCTAATGCTAAGTCCCTTTCTTCTTCATAAAATCTTTCTTAAAGCATATAAGAAATACAGTGATGACAAAGTGAACTTTTGTAAGTTTTGGTTCTATGAATTTCCTTCAGAGTGGTGACATGGTTAATCTTACTGTGCTAACAGAATATTATGCAATAATTAGTTAATTTATCTAAATTATTTTATGATGAGTACAACCCAGAATAGAATTTTACAATAACCTTGTGACTATTGCTAAGGCTGATGTGTGACTGTCATGTTTTTTTCTTAATTTTCCTCTTAGATAGTTTGGTGAAACAACATATTTCACCCCAAGTATCTTGCTTGTTGTGTCTTTAATTAATAATAAGACTAATACAGATGTATCTATGTGCCCAGCATTGAGATAAGCACCAATCCACCAATCCTCTTAACAGCTCCAAGAGGCCAGTACTATTACCCCATTTGAAACCTGAGCCTCAGGATGAATGTCTTGTCGAAAGCAAGTACTGGATCCAAGTTCCCGATCTGGGAGTTTCCCAACATCAGAATCTACCTGTTATTTGTGAGGGTCTGCTATGCTTTGTGTGTCTGTCTCACAGTCCTCTGTATTATGCTATCAGCACAGCTTTTCAATCTCAGCACTGTTGACATTTTAGGAACTAGAGTTCTTTGCTGTAGAGGCTATTCTGTTCATGGCAGAATGTTTACCAGTCCCTTTGACTTCTTTCCATTAGAATCCAATAGCAGTTCCCTAGTTGTGATAATCAGAACTATTCCCATTGCCACGTGCCCCCAAGAAGGTAAAGTTAATGCCAGTTGAGAACTACTATGCTAGACAAATATCTACACAGTGTCTAGGAGGTGCCTTGCACTTTCACATACATTATCTCATTAGATTGTGACAGAGGCCTGTGTTAAGGTGTTGTTTTTACTCTCATTGGTATAAGTTAAAAAATAAAAAAGGCTTACAGGAGGAACTGAGTCAAGAAACTTAGGTACTTTTTGTCTTTGCTAGTTTATCAGCCATAGACCAGTTATATACCTACTGTACTAAAATACAGTTTTCCCACTGGTAAATTGGATTACAGCCTATCACAAAGGGATATGGTGGGTATTTGGCATAGGCTGTGGGCATAAATGACCATCAAGAGAGGTTGGTGTTATTTGATACCAATCAACCAAGACTTGCTGTTATTCCAAGTTTTCAAAACCTCGTGTTATCCATGCTGTGAAGAGTGTGTGCTAGGCCTCCATGTGGTCCCCAAGTTCCCCTCTCTCTGATTCTTCTTTCCACATTGTCTTCCAGTCTGAGCGTATCTGTGTCTGACCCTGCCACCTCCTATAGTACAGTAAGTAGTGCCCATTAATAATAGCTCTGCCAACGGCCCAACCACTTATTGCTTCCTCTCCTATGTCATTTCTACCTGCTAGAATATGTTCTTATTTCTCTTTATCATTATCCACAAATAATTATGTCTAAGTGCAATAATACACCTTTTTCAAGACCAGAAATATAATTTGTCTTGGCCAGGTGGTGACACATGCCTGTGATTCCAACAGTCAGGAAGCTGAGGCAGGAGGATCACTGTGAGTTTGAGGCCAGCCTGGGCTCCGTAGTGAGTTCAAGTCCAGCCTGAACTACATAGTGAGACCTTGTCCAAAAAAATGACAATTGATGTCTCAGTTGAATGATTTTGGACAGGCCTAGGACCCTAAGTCTGACTGGTAATACTAATTACACTTCTAGGATACATATTCATGATTCCCTTGTCAGTTGGGCATTTCTTGGTGCCTAGAATGTGTCTTAGTGTCTTCCTGTGCCTCTGAAGGGCCTAAACCTTTGCCCACCGCCATGCAAGTTTCCACCTGTGTTTTTCCTCACAATGAGGTTCTGACCAGAGAGAGACCATCCATAGTAACACCCCTTTTTCTCCCACTCCTGCACGAGTTCCTCTCCAGAGCTCAGGATGCTACCCTTCCTACTCTGTGAGGTCGAGATCTTGTTCCATCTATGTTCTTTACTTTCTCCTATCTTCAGTGTCATTCTCTCTCATGTTTTCCTCTCATTCTGTCTTTCTCTTTAGAGTCAAATCCCTCAGAAAAAGAATCTACATTGTTTTTGGTCTCTAGCTTATCTGCTATTTCAAGTTCTAGGTAGTCAACCACACCAGTTTCCTGGGACCGTCCCAGTTTTAGTCCTGAAAGTTGCTAAGGAAATGACAAGAAATCTCTCAGTTCCCAGCAGAGTACTTCTGCCCCACCATTTCCCAGGAATTGCTCTCACCGAAGCCCTCATTGACAATGCAACTTCAGTTGTTCTAACTTCTGTGCTACCTCTAAACATTTGGACTCTGTTCTCTTGAAACTCATCCTTGGGTTGGAGGAGCCTCATTTTCCGTTGGTTTTCTTCCATGCCTCCTTCCTGCCTTTGCTCGAGCCCTATGCATTAGAGTGCCCCAGCGTTCACTGGCATCTTCCCTCTGCTTCTCACGTTCTTTCTGCCTGGCACTGGCTTTTCCCAAGGCTTCAGCGATTCTTAATATGCTGCAGACACCGAACCACGTATGCACCTGCAGCCTTGACTTCTCTTCTTGCTAGACCCAGTAACGCACATATTTCTTAGGCAGCCCCTCTTGGTAAGCTCATAAACTCCTCACACTTCACATTCAAAATAAAATCTATGTGGAGTAGCCAGAGTCAATTTAATCATGCTGTTTCTTGTAGCCTGTCCCATCTTGTCCAAATGTAACCAATATACACTGTATAAGTCAGTGTGTTTCAAATATTTTTATTCCTGATCTTCAGAAGAGCTTCATTTGATATCACGTGCCAATATATCCGTACCCTCATTTATGTAAATCCGTATTTATCCAAATATCTTCTTGGTGGAGAATTAAAATAGCATTAGGTTATTTATAGTAATATTTAATCCTTTATTTCAAAATATACTTGATTTGTTCCAAGCCTAAGTTCTTGCAAAGGAGCCGTGTGATACCCTGATACTTTATTCATAAAACCCAGATGCTGTCCATTAGTGATTTCATGGCTCACTAATGGGTTGTGCCTGGAGTTTGAAAGATACTTTTCTAAGCAGTTCTTATTCATCTGTCTCCCGTACCCTTCTGCCAGTACCACTTTCTTAGTGTAGGACTTTGATCTGCAGTACCTTTCACCTAACCTACTCCAGCTATCTCCTAATAACCTCCAGGTCTTGAGACTCACACCCTTCTAGTTCATTCTCCTTATGGCTTGGCGAGATGACATTTCTAAAAAGCAACTCTGCTACTGCCACTTCTTGGCTTAACATTCTTTAATAGCTCTTTGTCACCTCCAGGGTAAAAGCTCAGTTTTTGCTTATTGATGTTGCTCCTTCCAGCCTCTGTAGTCTCACCTACCCCTCCCCCGAGAGTACCTAAGCCTAAGAAATTCGATAGTAATTGTAGGTGTTTGATTGTTTCATATCTATGTCTCCTCCAGGCGTTTACTTCTCCTCTTCTATACATGGATTACACTATCCCACTTTTTCTGCTGCTAATCTCTACTAACCATGTCCTTCTCAGTTTAAGTGCACCCTTTCTTTTTTAAATTTCCTGAGTCAATCCAGCACCTGTACTCTGAAATCTATGAAACTCTAAGACCCCCAGCTCACCTTCTAATAGCAGTTAATTACCCTGTTACTGTTGTGATTTTTCTGCTTCCTTTCTT